CCGAAGGCAGAGGCTTAACTCACTGAGCCACCCAGGTGCCCCAGAAACATGACTTTTAATCAGTACCTATTTGTCAAATATTTTCTCTTTAGTTGCCAAAGTAAAATTAGATAAAATAGTGAAGGTTAGTTCCTTATTAAACAGAACCCATTAGTGGATGTGATGGTTAATTTCACATGTCAACTTGACTGGGTCATGAAGTGCCTGGATATTTGGTCAAACATTATTTTGGGTGTTCCTGTGAGAGTATTTCTGAATGAGATTAACATTTGAGTCAGTAGATTAAGTAAAGCAGATTGCCCTCCCTCATGTGGGTGGGCCTCATCCAATCAGTTGAAGGTCTGATTAGAGCAGAAAACCTGACTTCCCAGGAAGGGAGGATTCCTTCTGCCTGATTGCATTTGAATTGGGACATCAACTTTTTCCTGCCTTCAGACTGGAACTGCACTATTGGCTTTCCTGGGGCTCTAGCTTACTGACTCACTCTGTAGATCTTGGGACTCAGCAGCCTCCATAATTGTTGGGGCAGAGGGTGAGCCGATACATTATAACAAATATGCTGCCAGGGTGGAGATCTCGGGGTCCTGTGATCAGCCCTATATTGGGCTCTGCGCTCAGTGGAGAGTCGGCTTGTCCCTTTCCCTCCCGCTTTGTCCATCCCCCTGCTTGCTCCTTTGAGCGCTCTGTCTCTATCCAAAATAAATAAAATCTTTAAAAAAGAAACAACCCTGCCTGCCTCTCTCTCTTGCTTTGCTCTATTGTGCTTGGCAGATAATGCATCTTTTACAAATGGAAGGTTTGTAACAACCCTGCATTAAGCAAGACTTTTGGTATCATCTTTCCAACATCATTTGCTCACTTCATGTCTCTGTGTCATATTTTAGTAATCCTCACAATATTTCAGACTTTGTCATTTCTATCATTACTATTATTATTATTATTATTAAGTAGGTTTCACAGTTACATGGAGCCCAATGAGGAGCTTGAACTCATGACCCTGAGATCAAGACCTGAGCTGAGATTGAGAGTTGGATGCTTAATTGAGTGAACCACCCAGGCACCCCACTTTGTCGTTATTATTTTTATTCTGATCTCTGATCTTTGATGTGCCCCAAAACAATGCCCATAAAGGATAGCAACCTTAATTGGCAAATACTGTGTGTGTTCTGACTGCAGATGGGGAGGAAAGAGCAGGAGAGCTGGAATCAGAAGTGGAGCCTGAAGATGGGACCAATGGTCTGCAATCCATGGTGAAACCTGAATGGAGGCTCAAGAGTGGTTTCTTGAGATGGGACATACTCCTGGTGAAGATGCCATGAAGATTGCTGACATGACAGGGAAGGATGTAGAACATTCCAGAAACTGAGTTGATAAGGCAGCCGCAGGGTTTGAGATGACTGACCCCAATTCTAGAAGAAGTTCTCCCATGGGTCCAATTCTATCAAACAGCACCCCATGCTAGAGAGAAATCTTTCAGAAAGATCCAGTGATGCTACAAATTTCATTGCTATTGTATTAAGAAACCGCCACAGCCACCCCGACCTTCAGCGCCCACCAGTCAGCAGCCACCTACATGGAGGCGAGACCCAGATGACGGTTGGGGTGTTTTAGCAATCAAATATTTTTTCATTAAGGTGTGTGCATTTTTTTAGGTATGTTGTTTTGCACACCTAATAGTATAAACATAACCTTTGTATTCACTGGGCAACAAAAGAATTCATTTGAATTGCTTTCCTGAGATATTGGCTTTATTGTGGTGTTCTGGAACTAAGCCCACGATATCTCCAAGGTATACCTGTATCCCTCTCTCTCTCTGTCTACCCTATTGCCTCTGTTTCTCTAGAAAACCCTAATGCAGGGAACATACTCTAATGTCAAATGACTAAAAAAATGTTCCTACAGACCTCTGACTTTTCCAGGAGGAGAATCCCCTTTTGAATGGCGTGGCCATGCAGAATTCATCAAGAATTATGGATTTTTATTGACAAGAGGGAAATTGAATGTCAATGTTGAAAACATTCCAGTGCCGAAATACCACATTTAGGGAAGACAGGTGCTCTACTGGCTTTGCTTTATAATTCTGGCTCAGTGAATGGCATGACTGAAATTAACATTTTGTAAGGGTGAACAATTATTTGCTGGAGACCTAAGAATGACATCCACACAAGGTAAACAATGAAACACACAAGGTAGTATGGGGCAATCAGGAGGGACAGTGTTTATTGATGGAAGTCCTGCCCCAAAATAGGTCCTTTCTTCTTCTTGCTGACACAAAGAGGTGGGCTTCTGTACGTGGTGTGGGCTGTGGGTCCAGCTGCTTCTCTCAGACCCGCACCTCCACCCTACTCTTCCCTTCCGCCCTCAAGCTCCTTCCCAGCACCAGGGCTAAACACACTCTTCTTCTACCTCTCAACTCCACCTCACCCTTGACGTGTCCTGTTTCCTTCTGTCCAATACAGGCAGGAGGGCGGAGCCCTGCCTTCTCTGGCAGCCACACTCCACCTCCCACACCATCCACCACCCAGTGTGGACTAGAAGCTGTTTTTCCATCGTAGGAGCTGACCTCATTGTTCCGGGGGCTGGAACCATCTCTAAGGCAGCACTTGCCAATTTAGTTTATAGCCTTTCCTCGTTGGGGGCATGGGAGAAGCCAGGCTGTACCATTGTCTTTTGTCATAAAGATGGCATTAATGACCTCCTGTCCTTGCCTCTGTGTGTGAGCTTGGCTGAAAGCACACACGTGTGACTTGCCTGTCGCACAAGGATACAGTCTGCATACTCACTAGTTTGGGAGCCTCGCGGTCATTTATAAAAACTGCCTGAGTGGACAGCCCTGCTTCCTGTTCTTGCAGACCAGCATGACATTTTGGCTCAACTGAGCCTCTGTCATGGGTTACCACACAAATATTGTCAGGAGCTGTCATTTCCTGGCAGTGAACATTTATTCCACATCACCTCAGGATGCTCTCCCAGTGTCCTCCTGGCATCGGAACCGGTCCTCAAAAAGCAAAGGTAGAGCTAAAGTCAATCTTTCAGAGAAGATGGGCAGGAACTAAGTGTGGCTTATTGGAAAGAACGGCAAAGATGGTCCCTAGGGCAAGGCCACACTATTTTGCTAAGAGAGGAAGTGGCCTCCACCCAGTCACCACCTACTGGTCCCAACCCTAATGTGTCTTCCTGTCCCTCGCCTGCCTACCACTGTGAGGTGTGGAGGGTGGCAGAAGTCATCTCTACTTTTCCATAACCACTGACCAGTCTGGCCACACAGCAGTGTCTATCGGACACCACTGTAGATGCTCAGCCACCTAGCTAAACCAGCTGTATTTCTAGATTTTTCTCTACCGATGTGTTCTTGGCCGCAGCCCTGACATTACAGTCCTGTTTCCTGACTACTTACATGAATTTTAAAACCATCAATCCAAGTTGAATTCCACATTCTTAGGATAGAAAGTTATACTGGTGCAAAATAAATTCTTCAGGCATACATTGGGAATCATTGACTGACCACCTTGGTAAATCAGCAAATACCCAGTTAATACTTATTTGACTTCTACTCAGTGTACATTACGGTGCTATATGCTCAGCGTGAAGGTTTAAGAGCAGCTTAGGTATTGCTCAGTAAATATGTATCTCTGAAAAGGCAATAGTTAATAACAATTGCTATTTCATATTTTTAAAATGGCAATGCCTATTCAATGATTAGAATTTTTTTCAATTTTAGGAATTTAAATCCAACAAAGAGTAGCGTGAACAATTTCATTCAGATGTGGGGTTTCAGAAGGATGAGATACAATGCTAGTAATAAATGACGTGGACTTTCCTTCCTAAAAACGACTAATTAATCTTCCATGTACAAATCACCGAAGCAAAAACGTGGTGTAAAGGTAAACTGCTCTTTTGTCTGGTTACTGATAGGAGAGGAAGACCCCAGACCTTTGAAATAGCCCCCCCCCCCCCTTTTTATCCCAAGAAAGAACAACTCATGAATAGACAAAGAGTCTTGGGGCTTGGATCTCTGAAGGTGGCTAGTTCAGGCACAGTGAGAACGGAGAGCGGGGAGGAGAGCAGAGTGGCCCGAGCTGCCCAGGGTCCGGAATGCCCGTCCAGACTTGGTGAGGCACCCATGGACTCCATCCTGGGTCCCCGCGAGAGCCACTCTGCAAAACGCTGCGCTCCAGGCCCGCCGACTTCAACATCTGGGGTAGCTTTTCTGGCGCCACCGGAAGCCCCACCGAGGCCCTTTCTTCCCCATCTCCCTGCAGGGCCAGCGAGGCGAAGACAACAGTCGGAATCCCTAACATCACAGGCTGTGGCTCTCCAATCGTGCTCCTGCCGCCACAGCGACGTGACCTCGGGGCCTCCGTGGACTTCCCCGGCCCAGGGACCTTCCTGCGAGGGTGGGGGCTGCGGGCCGGCCCCCCGAAGGCCCTGCGCCCCAAGCATCCTACCCAGGGCGCCAGCAGGACGAAGGAAGAAGGCAGGACGAAGTAAGAAGGCACGGCGCGCGGCCGGCAGAAACCGAGGAGGAGCGCGCCGGCCACCGGGGAGCCCCCGCCGCCTCTCCCGGGCCCCTGGGGAGGGGAGGGGAAGGGAGGGGAGGGGGGCCTCCTTGGCCGAAGACACAGCCCCCACCGCTTCCGGGACTGCAACACCTCCTCCCGCCCTGGCCCCCCGCGACCCAAAAATAGCCACAGCACTCGGGTACTCAGTCCGAGCCCTCTGGGCGGCGCTTCGCCTCCGCCTTATCGCTCGCGGCCAGAACGCCGGCAGCCTGACCCCGCGCCAGCCTTTTATACTTAGTCCCCCGAGCCCCGCCCTAGCAACGTCTCCTAGCAACGCCTCGCCCTAGCCCTGGGCCGCCTTATCGGCCTCCTCCAGGCCCTTCCTGTTCCCCTCCCCCGCTCGCGCGGAGCTGCGCCGGGCCCAGCTCACGTGACTGGCCCAGGGGAGGGGCGGGGCGAGCGGAGGATGTGGGGGCGGGGTGCAGACCGCCCCATGACGCCATCGAGACGCGCCGGGCGAGCGGCGGCGCCCTGTCCCCAGGACCTGGAGGTCCGGGAGCTCGCTGAAATGGCGGAGGCTTCGCCGCTGGTGTGGGTTCGCGGCCCGGGCTTCGGGTGCGAGGCGGTGCGGTGTGCGTCGGCCCGGTGCTCCGTACGAGATTTGATCCGCCGGCACTGCCACGATCGGGTGAGCTTCGCGCTTCCTGGAGACAGGAAGGCGGACAGGGGCAGGATTGGGTGGGGAGAGGGCGGGTCGGGGCGCGTCTCTTCCTTAGGGTTTTCAGTTTTTGAGACTGGGGGCTCCCCAGTTTTAAGGTGCTTCAGACTGCTACTGAGGACTTGCTTTGTTTTTGTTTTGGGGTGGCGGTGGTTTTGTGTCCCTACAGAAGAGGGAACAACCCCTCGGCTCACAGGCGCTCAGTCCCGCCATCAGTGTAGACGAACAGAAACCTTTGGCGTTGTTTCTTCGTGCTCAAATGAGGCAGTTGGTCCAGATGACTTTAGGGCGCATTTCTTTAGGTTTCCCTTGCATTCATCCTGGTTCGGTGATAGGCATATTGTCTACGGCACAGCCCCGTCAGCTCCAGCGTAGAGGAGTATTTTCATATCCAGACCAAGGCCAGAGGATTGTTGGGCAGGGCGATGGGTTCATCTGGTCTCTGGTCGGGGCTGAGCGCTCACAAACGCGTCTTGTGGAGGGCGTGGGTTCTTGGGGTCTGTCGTTTAGATCTTTTCATTGATCCTCCGATGGTCACATTTGTCTGTGCATATTTTTGAAAAACTGTCAAGGACATACATGTGTGGTTTACGGAATTGTCAGGAAAGCGAGCTTCTCCCAGCTGTGAGACATTAAACCTGTTCGGTTATCTAAATAATTTGGTGGTCTCTCCAAGTCTAATTTTAATTTTGGCCCTTGATCTAGTAGTTTGTTTTTCTTTATAACCTCACTTCATCTGTGTTTCCCTAGGCTGTTTTTTTCTCGTTATTTATAGGCTTCATACATGTTAACACTGCAGTCCAAACCAAATCTTAATTTGGACCGGTTCCATGAAAAAGCAACGTGTCTTTGCAAATACTGTGGTTTTTCATCCTCTCCATTTGTCTTTCTACATACATTCCAGTCAAGTCTAAAAACTGTCAGAACTGTTTTTGATCCTGTAGGTGGGGAAATATCTTACAAAATAGATGGATTTTAATATGTCTGAAAATAATCCTTATCTCATGACAGTTGATCCAAAATGACTGGAAAAGTAGGATCTTAATTATGAGAGTATTAGAAAAAATAATTTTAAATAGGAAGGAAGAAATATAAATGGATGATTCTGTCAGGTCCTCAAGAAGTAGGACCATAACATATATGAACAGAAGCAAGAAACTTTTTAAAGGTCATTCGAAGAGATACTGGGAGAAATTAAAATAGCTCAAGTTCACGTCTCTGTTTTCTGAAACAAAATTATTCGGACACAGGATGAGGTCAGTGTTCGTGTCCACTGAAAAAGTAAAAATCTGTTCTCCTGTTCTTCAGGCTACGATAACAGACACAGATAAAACCAGCTGCAGAGTTCATAGGAAACAGTATTTTTCCCGAGGACATGGTACAGTTGTAAAATGTCATAATGACTCCCTTGGAAGTCTGCTGCTTTCTGATTCACTAAGAAACCTTGATCTCCAAAATTATAGACTACAAGACACTTTGCTGTTTGAAATTTTATCAGTGAGAATGAAGCATCCCACTCTTGCCTTGAGACTCTGAAGTTGCTTTGATATAGAGAAAGCACTCATGATTTCCAGCCCAGGTGCAGACCTTCAGATTAGGAGTTTCTGAACACAGCATTCTGTGTTTATCTTAACTCTGTGGTTTCCAAGGAAATGGGGGTCTGGATCCAATCTACTTCACAGTCTAGACCCGATGTTGCCCCCTTTATGCACAACTCTGCTTTGTTTTGAGCCTCTCAGAACACTTTCGTTTAAATTTCCTCTAAACTCACCCTTGCACCACATCCTATAATAATTGTTTTTTCCTCTTGTGTGCAGCCCCCTCCACCCCCAACCCCGTTGCAGTGAGTGAGTCAATACATTTGACCATTTGACTTTGGTGAATTACACATTTGTCTCTGGTTGCTTTAGGCTGATTGGCCTAAGATGCACAATATTTTGTGCTTGAAGTACTTTATAAAACACAGATGGTCAAAAGATGCTTAAATTGATTCTAAATTTCCTTTGTCCTTTTTTCCTACCAGAGATTTTTTTTTTTTAAGATTTTATTTATTTGTTGGAGAGAGTGAGTGTACAAACAGGGGGAGCGGCAGGCTCCCCACTGAGCAAGGAGCCCCATGTGGGACTTGATCCCAGGACCCTGGGATCATAACCCAAGCCAAAGGCATCGGCTTAACCAACTGAGCTACCCAGGTGTCCCGACCTACTAGGGATTAATGATAATAATCTTAAGTAGAAGATGCAATTTTTTTTTAAGATTTTATTTGTTTATTTGACAGACAGAGATTACAAGTAGGCAGAGAGGCAGGCAGAGAAAGAGGAGGAAGCAGGCTCCCTGCTGAGCAGAGAGCCCAATGTGGGGCTCCATCCCAGGACTCTGAGATCATGACCTGAGCCGAAGGCAGAGGCTTTAACCCACTGAGCCACCCAGGCGCCCCAGAAGATGCAATTTTGTTGATAAGTTGTCTTGTTTAACAAGCAGTTGTGTTTGGAAATGGAGTACGATGTATATAATCCTTCTGCCTTCACATTAATGTCTTTTAAAGTTATTTAGATATTTAGAAACACATACCGACTAGATCCAGAAAATATTAAGAGGAACTGAAGTGGCTTTTCATTCATAAACGTAAAGCAAATACAAGGTATATTGCACACCTCATTTAATCTGTACAACTGTTAAAAGTGGACCGCATTTTACAGACAAGAGTAGTCTTTCCTGTTGATCACATCACTGCATATAACCTGAGCTCCTTCGCTCTGCTGTCCTGCTAGCACTGGGTTGTGCTTCCCTGCTAGCCCAGAGTGGGCTTCCCCTGGGGTGGAGGACTGCTGAGAATACGGATTCCTGCAGCCCTCCTGCGTGGGGCAGAATCTGGGGGTGCCTCAGCAGCTTTGCTTATTTCCCCGTGTCACTGGATGTGTTTTCTGTACACCATGGCATGAAAAGCTTGGGAAGTCGTGCTGAGTTCATCGCGCTCACTTTCCTACGTGACTCTCCTCCAGTACTTCTCCCATCCAGAGGCCCATACTTTGTATTCAGTGAGAAAGTACAGCAGTCAAGAGGGACCCTCCTCATCCTCACACCATTGCCCCTACCTCGTTGCCGTACATTCTGCCTTCTCTTTTTCCATTACTGTGGATGAACAGTCATTATTTTACAGATGAGTTGCAGTTAGCTTCCACTTGGCCCAATACCCTGTCTCCTCTTATCTTATTTGGCATTGGTTCTCTCTCTGCTGTATTTCCCTTTTTCCTGGATCATTCCTACTAGGGCGCAAACTTGAGCCCACCTGCCTCTCAGCTGTCCCCTCCTTTTCTCTGTTGTTTTCTTTTGTTTGTTGGTTTTTTTAAAAGATTTCACTTATTTGACAGAGAGAGAGAGATCAGTTAGGCAGAGAGGCAGGCAGAGATGGGGGGGGAGCGAGAGCCCGATGCTGGGCTCAATCCCAGCACCCGGAGACCATGACCCGAGCCGAAGGCAGAGGCCCAACCCATTGAGCCACCCAGGCGCCCCTCTCTGGTATTCTTTATAGAAAATATCCTTGAACAGAAAACTTCTCCTTTAGAACGCACTCCAGTCAGGCTTTTGTTCCTGTCACTCCAGCAGACCACCTCCTGTCACGGGTGCCATACCCAGTGAGCTGTTTCCATCCTCCTCTCTCAGGGCCTTTCGGCATCCGTGGGCACACTCCAGCATTCCGTCCTTGGCACACTCTGCTCAGCTGTCCGCACGTTCACCTCACTAGCCTCCCTTCCAGTTCCCCTTTGCTGCTGCTGCCTCGTCGCCCTGATCTCTGCGCTGTGCAGTGGCCACGACTGGGTCTTCTGATCTTTGTCCTGTCCCTCATGCAGGACAGTTCTCAGGCCGGTGAATACTGTCGGCCTGCTGATGTCTTCCAAATGGAAATCTCCAGCCCAGACCTCCTCCCCAGACTGTTGACTTGTGTCCCCACTGGGTTCCTCAGCATCTCTATGTGGCTGTTAGTCCTTTCAAACCAATACGTCCAAAATGAGATTGGTGCTCTCCCCCAGACGTGCTTTTCACTATTAGCAGATGGCAGCTCTGTTTCCTGTTAGTCAAGCCAAATGTTTGGATCCTCTCTCATTGCGCTGTGGCTCTCACTGCCCGCCTCCAGAGCCTTAGGGGGAACTCCCCGCACCCCCGTTTCTCATCCCCTGCTGCCACTACCCGGGAGACAAATGGCCTTCGTTGCTCACCTAGCTGTGTTGCTGATGTCTCTGCTTCTCCAGTCTTATTTCCAGTTTCACAGCTAGAGTGATCCTTTTGGACTATAACTCCACTTTCAATCTGTTCGAAGACCTGCAGTGGCTTTATTCAGAGCGGCTTTATTCTTACAAGGGCTTTTACGGCCTTCCCCTTTCCCTTTGGCAGACATCTTCCAGCCTCGCCGGCCGTGCTGCTGCTCCGCACATACTCTGGGCTTATTTCTGCTGCCCGCCTTTGCCTCTGGAATGCTCTGCCCCCAGATTGCCACTGGCTTGTTCTCTTCCTTTCCTTCATTCTCTGCTAAAATGGTACTTGACCAGAGAGGCTTTTCTTGACTGTGTGTGTTAGATAGATGACCAGTGTGGCCATCCACGCACGCTGTCCCCTTTAGCCTGCTTATTGCTAGGGCGGTTGTATAGCATCCATTTGTTCGTTCTCTGACTTTCCCCGCTGGAACGTAAGCTCTGTGAGGTAGGATTCACTACAGTGTCCCAACACTCGAAAGTACCTGGCAGATGGGAGGGACTTGATTAATACTTGTTGAAGGAACAGGCAGGTCCCACTGAAGCGGCCGTGGGATGTGGTCCAGAACGAACGTTCATTGTGTCCACTTCGAGAAGATACCAGTCATGCATTCTTCCTTTCTGTTGGTTTGTGGATCTCCTTTTATATTTTCTCTTCATCGCTTGCTCTGAGAAGTCTTGAAATCTACAGAGTGGGTTTGGGGGCACTTGGACTTCTGCTGTAACTTGGGGACATGTGCAGAGAAGACCAGCTGGCCCTCCACCTGTTCCCACTTCTGTAGGTGTAGGCAGACCATACTGGCATCTCCTTCCCTCTCCCTGCTTGTCCTTATCTACACTTTCCAGAATGTGTATTGTCACTTTTGAAGCCGTGCAACTTGATATTACCTGTCTTAAAAAAAAGTCAAGAGAAAAAGGGCCTTGCAGAGTTACTGGGTCCGAGCCCTGTGTAGTTTTCCACCTTGACTCTGATTTCCTATCAGAGAAGAGAGTGGTTCTTTCTTTCACCCAAAAGACAAGTTCTTGTACATACTGTGATGAGGTGTTAGGAAAACGTCATACCCCGAATACATCCTAGGAAGTGACTTTTTTCCTTTGGATTTTCAGTTCAACAAATACTAATGGAACACACGCTATGTGCTTATAACCTGAGTAATAAAAACAAAATGGGCTAGGCCCTTTCCTGCAGGAAACTTGGCGTTGTCTCATTTTAAAACCCCAAACTTGTCTCTAGGGTGTCCCAGAGGACTGCTTCTTCGTGAAGTGCGACGGCTCCCTCGTGGACGCCAGTGATGAAGTGAGACATGGTGCTGTGTATAGTCTGGAACCCAGGCTCCGTGGTGGAAAAGGAGGTAGGACGCACCTGTCGGCTGCTTCCGTGTGTCACAACTGCAGTCTCTAGCCCGGGGCAGGCCCCTGGTGTGTGCCAGTTTTGTTTTGCCTTATGAAATCCTTTATTCAGTTTCCTAGTTTTGAGTATTTTCTCTTTTATTATTTTTGAGGAATATATTGTCTGATTATTAATTTCTACCCTCACCAGCAGGATAGCTCTTAGGCAATTAGATTCCAAAACTTTGAGGGAGATTGGATAAAGAGAGACAATCATTACTCTGTCCAATTTGCTGAAGAAAGAGTGTTAAAACAGTTAAATCTCCTTCTGCTTTTTATGTATTTATTTATTTGACAGAGAGAGTTAGTGAGAGCAGGAACACAAGCAGGGGGAGTGGCAGAGGGAGAAGCAGACTCACTGCTGAGCAGGGAGCCCAATGCCGGGCTTGATCCCAGCACCCTGAGATTGTGACCTGAGCCGAAGGCAGATGCTTAACGACTGAGTCACCCAGGCGCCCACTCCTGCTTTTTAGCAAGATTTTCTCTGGTCATTATAGTTCTGAGGGAGGACTAAAGTCAGCCTGTGGAATATAGCCGTTTACAGATGGGGTAGATTTGGGTCTTTGTATGAACACAGCTAAGAATAGAGAAGAAAAACTAAAAGGAAAAACGGAATATGGGCAGTTCTGGGTATTTTTCCCAATGCGCTGGCATGTCATCCCGAAGCTTCTCAAAATCCACAGTGATTTGGTTTGGTTTTCAGAGAGCGGGCTGGCATCTCCGATTAGAATCATCCTGCTGTTTGAAATCGTGTCAATAAGAATGAAGTTTATCGTATCAGCTGGGGACACCTTAAAATTTTCCTTTGAAACTCACTGCAAAATCTCACCATAAAAATTTTTAAGTTAGTAATCTGTGCATCTTCGGATCTGTGGGTCTGGGTAAAGCCCCTCTAAAATATCCCAGTGGGGGGTGCCTGTGGGGCTCAGTCAGATAAGTGTCTGTCTTTGGCTGAGGTCATGATCCCAGGCTTCTGGGATCGAGCCCCGCGTTGGGCTCCCTGCCCAGTGCCAAGTCTGTTCTTCCCTCCCCCTCTGCCCTCCCACCCCCCATTCGTGCTATCTCTCAAAAAAATAAAATCTTGAAAAAAAAAAAAATCCCAGTGCAGATACAGTATTTCAGAAATACAAGAGGGAGAGCAAAAGGCATGAGGTTGAATCAGGTTTATCAATATTTTTATCTTTGATGCCTGGGCAGAATATTGATGTCCTTTTCTTAAAAAAAAAAAAAAGAGAGAGCGTGCAGTTTTGTTTTGTTTTTAAAGAATGTATTTATTTTAGAGAGAGTGCAAGCACAGGGAAGGGCAGAAGGAGAAAGAGATGAGTTGGATGCTTAACCAACTGAGCTACCCAGGTGCCCCAAAGAGATCTTTTTTTTTTTTTTTAAAGATTTTATTTATTTATTTGACAGACAGCGCAAGTAGGCAGAGAGGCAGTCAGAGAGAGAGGAGGAAGCAGGCTCCCTGCTGAGCAGAGAGCCCGATGCGGGGCTCGATCCCAGGACCCTGGGATCGTGACCTGAGCCGAAGGCAGAGGCTTTAACCCACTGAGCCACCCAGGCGCCCCCAAAGAGATCATTTTTTAATCTTTGGTTATAATAGCATTTTCACAGATTTGGCATTTATCCGTCCTGGAACTCTTTTTAACCTGCTTTTTCCAAACATATTTGCCCAGGGTTTGGGTCTATGCTCCGAGCGCTTGGCGCTCAGATTGAGAAGACGACCAATCGAGAAGCTTGCCGGGACCTCAGCGGGAGGAGGCTACGGGATGTCAACCATGAGAAAGCGTAAGCTGCCCGCGGCGCAATGCACGTTCCCACCACTGGTGGTTGTCCACATGCCACGTGTATCCAGCTGTGGCATTGAAGCCTGAGCACTCTCACTGGTCGTTCTCATCCTTAGCTCTTTCTGTTGTTTAGTGACTCCCGTTGGGTTGTAGGGGGTCCCTCCCAGTGTGCTGGTGGTGAGCCCGGCCTGTCTTTCTGAGGGAGGATCACAGCAGGCCGGGGACCGTGCACATTTGGCTGGTGGGGGCTCTTCACGGATCAGCAGGCATGGGTGTGATCCGGCCGGTTGGCCCCATCTCTTTTGCCCATCCTAGCATGGCCGAGTGGGTGCGACAGCAGGCCGAGCGGGAGGCCGAGAAGGAGCAGAAGCGCCTGGAGCGGCTGCAGCGGAAGCTGGCAGAGCCCAGGCACTGCTTTGCCAGCCCTGCGTACCAGCAGCAGTGCCACGAGATGGCAGAGCGCCTGGAGGACTCTGTACTCAAAGGTGAGAGTGAGGGGAGTCTGCCTGTCCCTCTCCCTCTGCTCCACCCCCTGTGCACACGTGCGTGCTCTCTAGAATAAGTAGAGTCTTTAAAAATAGTAATAAACAGTACGCCTTATACTCTAGAAACAAAAAGGGCACACACACACAGTATGTGAGGTACTTGGCTCCTGAATTGTGGGGGCCACGGACCCCAGGTGAGAACACTTTTGCTCGGTGGGTATGCCAAGTCCTCACAAGTGTTTAGACTTCGATGTACTTGCTTCTAGTTTTAGGCCCATTATTTTTTAATGGTTTTTTAATGAGAATGAATAACTTTTATTATTGCTTTTTAGCTCCTAAAGTATGATGCTAGGGCTCTTGCGCGTTCAGCTGAATAAGAAGGAATCTTCTCAGTCAGAAGGTTATGACATCATGCTGTACAAGCAGCGAGTGGCAGGGGATGGAGCATCCTGGCCCAGGGGGGCCAGGGACGCCCCCGTCAGTCTCAGAGCTGCAGATTGGCCGTTGCTGTTTTCCAAACCTGGTTCCAGAGCCAGAATGCTCAGTACCTTAAATCTGTGTAAACTTGAGTTGTATCTCATTTGAGCTGTGTTAAATTTTAGAATGTTAGCAAATTTAAAAACTCGAGCTTTAGGTTGCAACGCGGCTGCTTCTGTCGTCCATGCTGTTTATCATGTCTTCAGTTGTACCCGCTTCTGAGAGCATAACTGAGTTGGGGCCGTTTCGGCTAGGTATGCAGGCTGCCTCCAGCAAGATGGTCTCGGCTGAGATCGGCGAGAGTCGGAAAAGACCCAAGCCGGCAAAGACAGACCGAGGAGCCAGTGCAGGGAAAAGGAAGTGCTTCTGGTAAGTGTGCTTTGTTTTCAGCCCAGTGTGGCTGGACTGCGTTTCCTCTTGCCTGTCTGCTGTAAACCTCTTTAAAGTAAGGTTTGCTGGGCGCTTGGAGCTTTCCAGAGTGTCTCAGTTCCCAGGGGTCCACACAGTCACACCGCACATGCTCTTCGTGGTTTCTGCCTTGCGAGCTGGAAATGGGAGCTAAAGGACAGGTTTTTCTTAGTGAAAGATCACATAGGAATCACTTTATACTTGAATGACTATTTGGTGCTGAAAGAGTTAACTTTCAGAAATTCTAAGTGGAAGCCCCAGCTGTACTTTACAGATTGTGCTGTTTTCTCTGTGGTTTTTCACAGTTGTTTCTGAGGTCTGCGGCCAGGTCTGCACTTGTAGCTGACGATCACAAGGGCGCCTTGTCTTGTCCATCCCGCTGGTGGTGCTCCCACCCTTTCCACTCGGTACTCTCGGTGCAAGCTCACTTCCCCTGGGCCAGGTTCTAGAAAGTGAGGTCCAGACGCATCTTGGTTCCTCGTTGGCCTCCGCTTTGGAGGCAGAAAGAGAATTATTAATTAAAGATCACGTAACTGTGTGAATCCAGCAAAGAATCTTGGGTGTTCTTTGTGAAATAGGAGTTAAGTGTTCTTTTGAGTGAAGGTAGTGGGATTGTGTGGGGAAGTGGTGGGGGGGTTGAATCAGGTTTTTTAAGGTGCAGTTTTTTTGTTGTTGTTTTTAAGATTTTATTTATTTATTTGACAGAGAGAGATCAGAGGCAGAGCAGCAGGCAGAGAGAGAGCGGGGAGCAGGCTCCCCGCTGAGCAGAGAGTCTGATGGGGGGCTCCATCCCGGGACCCTGAGATCATGACCTGAGCTGAAAGCAGAGGCTTAACCACTGAGCCACCCTGGTGCCCCTGAGGTGCATTTTTATATGCACTAAAATTCATCCTTTTCATTTAATAGGTCTGTGGGTTTTGAGAAATACAGTCACTTAACCAAGATATAGAATGTTTTCATTTCCCCAAAGATTGCCCATGTGCCCCTTGGTGGTTAATTCGGTTCCCCTACCCTGTCCCGGGCAAGTGCTGATGCTGGTATGGTGTTTTTTCCGATGGTTCTGTCTTTTCCAGAATGTCCTGCAGCCCTCTGTGTCTGGAGTCTCTCCCTTAGCACAGTGCTTTTGAAATCCACGGCTGGTGTCACGTGTATCAGTGGTTCGTTCCCTTTTGTTGCCATGTATTGTTGCGTCTCTCCATTCTGTTGATAGTTTGGGTAGTTTCCGGTTTGGGGGGATTATGAATAAAACATAGGCTTTTCTTTTAACTCTGTTATTTTATCTACATTTCTAACCATTCGAGATTTGTACAAGATAGGGAAAAAAGTTTTAGGCAAAATCAATTTTGTTTTAAAAAATTCACATCTGTAGGGACACCTGGGTGGCTTAGTTGGTGAAGCGTCTGCCTTTGGCTCAGGTCGTGACCTGAGATAGGGTCCTGTGATAGAGTTCTTCATTGGGCTCCCTGCTCAGCAGGGTGTCTGCTTCTCCCTCTGCCTCTCCCCCTGCTTGTGCACTCCCTCAAATAAATAAAATCTGGAAAGGAAAAAAAAAAAAAGATTCACAACTTTAAAGAGGATTCCCTCTTGGATCTTTGGGATGGTTGGTTCCAGGTTCATTGTATTTTTTCTTCTTTGTTTATACCTCTGAAGATCTTTCTCTGAAACTTAGCTACTATCCATCTCAAGCGAGCAGATACTTTGATCCTGACAGACACTTGTTACCTGGACACACGGTAACTCTGTCTGGCAGAGAAGCCGAGAATGGTGTTAAATCTTTCCGCTGCTCCTGGCAGGTTGGGCATGGAGGGACTGGAGACGGCAGAAGAGTCCAGCTCGGAGACCTCGGATGATGACTGGGAGGAAGGTCCTAGTACTTCAGGCACAAGCTTGCATGCTGCAGACAACGGCCTCGATGGTGCGAAGCCAGCAGCCAGGTCTCCCCACCGCCATCCAGGGACGGGCATGGCCAGCGTGGCCTTTCGGTCCCCAGAGCCACTGCCAGCCCCAGGGACAGGCTCAGGGCACTCTGTCTCCCCAGCTGTGTGTGCCACATCGGGACAGACGTCTGTTGAGGGGTGTGAGGACAGGACAGTAGCCACAGAAACAGAGGAAAGCTGGGAGGAGGAGGGGGGCGCAGAGGGCAAAGAGTCAACAGAAGAAGAGGCCACAGAGGCTGGACTGACCCAGGAGCCGGAGCCGGAGCTGGAGCCGGAGGAGGCGGCTGATGGAGCCAGAGCTGCCGAGGCCACACCTGGAGAGACCGGGGGAAGCGTGCCCACTGCCGGACTGGAGGGAGGCCCATCAGGAAGCACAGTAAGTCATTTGGGGGTCCATGTCCAGAGCCAGGGCAGCTTGATGGCCAGTTCCTCAGGAAGTCCTTACCATGAAAATGAGCTTTTCCCCATCAGCTGCTGAGTGGGAAGATTTGTTTCCCAACCAGAAGTACGGATGAGGGTGAACCTCGCCGCAGCGCGCCCCCCGCCCCCCAAAAGTCTGTTTTTCTTTTAAACTCTGGAATGTGTATCTTTTTGCCACTAGGTGGCGTCCTTGGTTCCATATTTTATGAGTTTTAATTTTAATTTATTTAATTAAATAAAATATTAACATAATTAAAATTAACATTTTAATATCTGAATTGGGGTAGATGTCCCGTATGAGCACTGAACAGGTGTGATTTACCTGCGGAGCAGGGAGTCCGACATGGCACTTGATCCTAGGACCCCGGGATTGTCACCTGAGCCGAAGGCAGATGCTTAACCCACTGAGCCCCCAGGTGCCCCTCATGATTGGGAGGAGTCTGTTTTGAATATTTTCCTTTTTCCCCCTCAGCATACTGGTCAGCAAACTCTCGATTTGCTGGCCTTTGGCTGCGCGGCAGAGCTGGAGGTGCTGGGTTTGGACAGGCTCAAGTGTGAGCTCATGGCCCTGGGACTGAAATGCGGGGGTACCCTGCAGGAGCGCGCGGCTCGGCTCTTCTCTGTCAGGGGCCTGTCGAGGGACCAGATCGACCTGGCTCTGTTCGCCAAACCTTCTAAGGGGAAGAAGAAATGAATTTCATCGGAGCTGGTTTCCTGTTTCTTCATAGTTTGGCGTTTATAACCTGCGGAATGTTGACTCCTGGCCATTATTCCTGTTGATATTAAAGCTGACTTTTTAATAACCCAGTTGGGATCATCCTCTTTTTTCATTATTGTATTTGTAGAATTAATGTGTGACATCATCTGGGCCTGCAGTGTTGTTTGTGGGATGATTTTTTATAAAGATTTAGTTTAATAAATACAGAACTATTCAGATTGTTTATTTCATCTTGTGTCATTCAGGTAAGTTATGCAGTTGACCCTTGAACATCACAGGTCAGGAAAGCACAGCTCTACTTATATGTGAATTTTTTTTCAATCAGTACAGTACAGTATGTTCAATACATCTCTCATTTTTTTCCTCATGATTTTAATAACATTTTCCATAACTTCATTATAAGAACACAACATATAATCCATGCAACATACAGAACATGTGATATTCCTAGAAGTCCCTCCTTACTCTTAACATCTGTGGGAGCTGTGGTAGTAACTGCTTTTTCCTCCTAGGGCTGGTGGTTTTGCTTTTCCTTTCCCCAGTCAGTCTCCCAAGGGTTTGTCGGTTTTGTTGATCTGATTTTCAAAAACCAGCTTCTGGCTTTGTTAATTTTTCTCAACTTTTTCAGTTTTGTTGATTTCTGCTCTTTATCATTAGCTTCCTTCTACTTAGTGTGGATTCATTTTGTTCTTTTTTTTCTGTAGCTTAAGGTAGGCCATAGGTCATGATTTTAGACTTCTTTCTAGTAAAAGTGTTTGAAGTTACAGGTTTTTCTTGAAGTACTACTTGAGCTGCATTTCAGAATTTTTAATATGTTGTATTTTCATTTTCATTCAGTTGTAAATATTTCCTCATTTCCTTGTGAATTCTTTGACCCATGGGTTGATTATCTAGAAGCATATTGCCTAATTAGCTGGTGTCTGTTTTGCTCCCTAAATATCTCATAGTTACGGATTGGCATTTTAATTCCATCAAGATGAGAGAATATGGTTTCAGTCTTTTTAGTTTTATCAAGACTTCTCATACAGGGGTGCCTGGCTGGCTCAGTGGGTTAAAGCCTCTGCCTTCGGCTTAGGTCATGATCTCAGGGTCCTGAGATCGAGCCCCGCATTGGGTTCTGGGCTTAGCTGGGAGCCTGCCTCCCCCACCCCCTACCTGTCTCTCTGCCTTCTTGTGATCTCTGTCTGTCAAATAAATAAATAAAATCTATTAAAGGGACGCCTGGGTGGCTCAGTTGGTTAAGCAGCTGCCTTCGGCTCAGGTTGTGATCCCAGCGTCCTGGGATTGAGTCCCACATCGGGCTCCTTGCTCGGCGGGGAGCCTGCTTCTCCCTCTGCCTCTGCCTGCCATTCTGTCTGCCTGTGCTCGCTCTCTCTCCCTCTCTCTCTGACAAATAAATAAAATCTTAAAAATATTAAAAAAAAGTCTTTTTTTTTGAAGATTTTATTTATTTATTTGATAGCACAAGTAGGCAGAGAAGCAGGCAGGGAGAGAGGAGGAAGCAGGCTCCCCGCCGAGCAGAGAGCCTGATGTGGGGCTCGATCCCAGGACCCTGAGACCATGACCTGAACCGAAGGCAGAGGCTTTAACCCACTGAGCCACCCAGGCATCCCAAAAAGACTTCATATGACCCAATATGTGTAATAGGTATATGGTCTGTCTTGGTGAAGGTTCCACATTTACTTGAAAAGAATACATTCTCCAAAATGGGTGAATTTGTTCTCTAATACCAGTTAGGTTACGTAATTAATGCTGTTGTTCACATCATCTGTGTCTTCAGACTTTTTGTGTCTACGAGGTGTTGTGAGGTGTTAAAATCTGTTATGATTGTGCAATTGTCTGTTTCCAATTCTGCTTCATATTCTGAGGGCCTGTTACTCGGTTATATTACATCCTCTTAATGAACTGACTATCTTATTGTTAGGAAATTCCCCTCTTGATCTTTGCCAATACCTTTTGTGTCCAATTCTGTTGTATCTGATGTGAGCTTCTCTAGCCTTCTAATGCGTTCTGTGTGCCTGATACCCCACTCTCTGCCTCTCTTTGTCTTTCTGCTTAGAGTGAGTGGGATTCCTATACACAGCCTATAACTTGGGTCTTCGCCCTTCTCTCTGTGCTGACTCCACCTTTTAGTTCCCGTTCATTCCCATACGCTGTGATTACTGGAGTCAGGTTTTAGGCTTATCATTGTATTGTTTATCTGTTTGGATTAGTTGTTTATTTTAGGACTACATTTTAATTGATTGGCTTTTTAGCTATCTTGTTTATAGTTCATCCGGTTTTTTAGTGGATGCTCTAGGAGTTACGACATCCATAAAACTCACATAAGATGTAGAAATCTTGCAACTGTCTATGTCCGTTTACCATCCCTGTCATTGATGGTCTTGTTTATATATATATATGTAAAACTATGGTCCTTACAAGCCCTATAACATTTTGCAGTTTCTACTTTATCATATGTATTTAATTCTTTAAAAATAATATTTGTGAGAAAGGGAGCAGGTGCACAAATGGGGAGCAGCAGGCAGAGCAGAGGGAGAAGCAGGCTCCCTCCTGAGCAAAGAGACTGATGCAGGACTCGATTCCAGGACTCTGGGATCATGACCTGAGCCGAAGGCAGACACTTCACTGACCAAACTGGCCGGGAATCCCAAATATATTTTCGAGAAATTAAGAGAAAGAGGGATGCCTGGATGGCTTCGTTAGCTGGGCATCTGACTCTTGGTTTCTGCTCAGGTCGTGATCTCAGGGTGGTGAGATTGAGCCCTGAGTCAGGCTCTGCACTCAGCAGGGAGTCTGCTTGGGATTCTCTCTCCCTCAGCAACCCCCACCCCCAATAAATAAATCTTAAAGAGAAAGGAATAGGTGAAATTAACTTTGATTAATAAAATTTAACATTTATGCCCATATATTAAAAGTCTCATTTCAACATGTAATCAATACAAGACAGTGAGATAGTTCACATTCTGGGTTTTTTTTTGTTTTTTGTGCCAAGTCTTTGAAATCCCGTGTGTGTTTTAGACTCACAAGACTTCTCAGTCTGGACCAACCACCTCTTGTGCTGAATTGGACTTCGGGATGCTAGTGCGTGGGTTGGGAAGTCATCACGGGGAGCTCTCAATCCAAACCAGCACACACACAGCCTTGAAGGGACCTATCATGAAGACACTCGACCCCCAGAGCTCAGCATTGATCTGTCCCTATACCCACAATGTTCTTTCTTCACCTGCCTCCAGGGATGGCTCAATTCTCACCCCCATTTAAAACAGCAACTACCGGGTGCCTGGGTGTCTCAGTTGGTGAAGTGTCTGCCTTCGGCTCAGGTCATGATCCCGGGGTTCTGGGATCGAGTCCTGCATCAGGCTCCTTGCTCCAAGAGGAGCCGGCTTCTCCCTCTGCTTCTGCAGCATCCCCTGCTTGCGCTCTCTCTGTGTCAAATAAAATCTTAAAAAAATAAAACAAGAACTACTCCTTCTCCATACACATCTTTCTTTCCTGCCTGTTCTTTTTCGTAGTGCCAGTTTTCATGCTAGTTACTTTACTTATTAAATATACCTCTCCCCACCTCCCATAGGGAATAATTTCCATCATGACAGATTTTTTTTTAAAGATTTTATTATTTGACAGAGGGAACACAAGCAGGGGGAATGGGAGAGGGAGAAGCAGGCTCCCCACTGAGCAGGGAGCCTGGTGCGGGGCTTGATCCCAGGACCCTGGGATCAGGACCCGAGCCAAAGGCAGATGCTTAACGACTGAGCCACCCAGGCTCCCATGGCAGAGATTTCTGTCTGGTTTGTTTACACCTCGAACGTAGAAGTTTCTCAGCAATTATGTATTGAGTGAGTGAGTGAATGTACTACTCTACTAATATGATGTATTTGGTAAGACGATAAATAGAATTCTGAACATACTCCACACTCATCAGTGGATCATAGGGCATATCCTGTGGGGTGTTTGACACCTTTGCTTGTAGACATGGGGCGCCTTTGAAGGTTGTGGAGGAAAATGACTGGAAGCGAATAGTTTACTAGCAACAAATCTGAGGGCAGCTGAAGTGCCGGCTGGAATGGCCGTCCTATAGACAGGGCTCTGTTTTTATATAAAATTCTAGAGAATTCAAAGCTATCTATAGTGACAGAAAAGAACAAAGATCGATGGTTGCCTAAAGGTGGCATGGAAACTGGGTGGGCTGGGAAGACAAGATTATATAAAAGCAATCATTGAGAATGTAATATTTGGGGAAGGTGTCTGGCTCTTTTTACTTACCATTATTAGATTCATATATATTGTTGCATGTAATTTTTTTATTCCGCTACATAGTAGTTTGTTGTATTTTTACACTACAGTGTGTCTAATCATTCACCTGTTGATGGATATTTGAATTGTTTCCAGTTTTGGCTATTAGAAATGATACTGCTTTGGGGAAAGAAAAAAAAAAAGAAAGGGAAAAAAAAGAGTTCTGTTTTCCATGACACTGCCGGCCGTGAGCAAACGAACCGTGAGCAACGAACGCCACAGATCTCGGTGAAGAAGGCAGGCTCCCCCTATTGCCAGCAGAGGGAGCTGGGCACTAACAAACACCGGTGGAAGATGGGGCAGGGGAGGGCGGGGAGTGGGGAGTGGGCCGAGGAGGGTCCCTAAGACCCACAGCCCTGCACACAGAGTAAGTGGCCGCAGCTGGCCTAGATCTGACTGGACTCTTAGATGCTTGTGTTTCGTTCCTGCTTGCCCTCTGCTGATGGGAACATATTGCTCCCAGGCTTGCAGAGTGTCCCGTAAATCACTACCTCTCAACACAGCTCTTTGCTAGTCACTTGCTCTTGTGTGCCGCTGGAGGAATTCCAGCATCCGTGTATATGCAACAACTCCTTAATTTTTGTGTTCTAAAACATATCTTTTGGGGGGTATAGCTGTGTTTTGTGCAGTTCTGAAATAAGTATTTCTGCCTGACCCCCACGTGTCACTTCAGGGGGAAAGGTCCACCCTGATGCGATGTTCCAGCTCGTTACTCCTGCCCGGGTGGCCCCCAGGTCACC